CCTCCCCAGTCACAGAGGAGGCTTCCAAAATACTAGTAATATTCTATGTCCTAATCTGGGATCATTTTATCATTCTTTAATTATTCTTTAAACTGTTCATTTTATCCTTTAAACTATATAGACACATTTTTTAATATACTTCCTGTATATATTTCACAATTTAAAAAAAAAAAAAATCCCTCGTTCCAAAGATAAGCACCTGATCCAGGTGTGGCAATCAGGATCACAAAGACTGGCTTAGGCGCCTGACCCAATTTAGGCCAATGAGACACTAGCCCAGAGCTTTTGCCAGAACTATCAGGAAAGATGTGCTCTCTTTCTGTCGGAGCTGTGAAGCTTGTTTGTAGAACATATCCCTTCACTAGCTTGGGAATAAAGCTAACAGAAGAAAGCAGAGCCAACAGATGGAAAGTGACAGATCCCTGACATCATTTGAATACCTTGTTCTAGCCATTCTTGAAGCTAAAACCTGGGCCTTTTCGACTACGTGAGCCAGTAGGTTTTTTTTTTTTCCTCTAGCCAATTTGCATTCAGTTTATATCCTTTTAAGTAAAAAGCATCCTAACTAATTCAGTGGAATAATCAAATAAGGTATTCTCACTTCAACAGCCTATGAGATCCTTTTAACACATAAGTCAAACTATGCCCTCCTGCTCAAGACCCTATAACAAACTTCACTTCCTCAAGGCACTCACAGTAAAGGCCAAAGTCCTCAGGCCTGCCACACTCAGCACGATTTGATTCCACCCTTCTCTGCCCTCAGCATATGAGTCTCCATTGCTCACTCTGCCCCCAGCCACACTGCCTCCAGGCTGTTCCCTGACACATCAGGCACCTGCCTTCAGGCTTCCACTTCAGCTGCTCCCTCCACCTAGACCCTCTTCTCCACACATCCACCTGCTAACTCCCTCACCTCCTTCAAGTCTGCTCAAATCTCTATTTTTCAATAAGGCCCACCTGAATCCCCTTCCCTGTGGCCAGTGATCCTGAACCCCACCTCCCTGCTCTACTTTTTCTTCCTTCCATAGTATTTATTATATAATACAATAATGTACTTATTAAAATGTACCCAATAAGGGCAGGGGTCTTTGGCTGTTTTATGCATCACAAGTTCCTAGAACGGTGCCTGGTTCATAGTATAGGCCCTCAAATATTTGCTGAATGAATATAAAGAATGACATGAGCCTCAAAAGAGCAGAGGTTGGTCTGTATTAATAAAAGGCAATGGGGCTAGAGAGAGAGGAAACGACTCCCACCTCCTGAACCTGACATTAATGGAGGACGGGAGGAAAAGACATCACTATTGTGAAGACTTCAGGGAAAGTCTTAAGTGACCTAAGGGTGCAGGAAGAAGATGAAGAGTTCAGTGAAGAGGTTGAGGATGTATGAAGAGAAGTTAACCACAGAATATGGCTCAAGAGGGTTTAAAGTGGGGTGGAGAACTTTCGGTCTTGGGGCACATGTGGCCTTCTATATCCCTGAGTGTAGCCTTTTGACTGAATTCAACCTTTACATAACAAATCCTTTTGTTCTGTGAAGTCTGGACTCAGTTGAGGGGCTGCACTGGAGGATCTGGAGGGCCACATGTGGCCTTAAGGCTACAGGTTCCCCACCCTTGGCCCAGAGCAATTTGCAGATGACAGTTAAAAAGAGGAAAGATAGGCCAAGTGATTATTTACATTTTAGATGGAGATGAAAGCTATAGTGATATGAGGCCTGGCAAGTTTAGCTTGTATCAGAAGAATTAGTCCTAGCAACCCCAGGTAGATAGAAAGGATCCTCCCATCACACCATGGTTTGAATGATTTGAGAAGTGGGTGAATGGAGAGTCCATCACATTTGGTCTTTCTCTCCCACACAGAAGCCATTCAGAAGTGTCAGCTGGATGGAGACACAAGACTACCCTGCTCAAGGCACCAGCCTGGGCTCGCAGAAAGCAATTCCCCTCTGCATAATGACCCTGCACTAGGGACAGCCCGTCACACCTTCATTCCCCTTGCCCAGAACCGACCCTGAATCCCTGTCATCCAGGATTGACAGGATCGCAACCCCAATGTCCAAAAAGACTAAAACCCAGGCTTCTTTTCAAAGACAGACCACAGCACTCTCCTTTCCTACATGCCCTCCACACTGCCTAGGCAAGAGAAAGCCAGCCAAAGGGAAGGCTTCCTTCCACTGGTTCTGACTCACCTCTGTTGCTTGCTAGCTTCTCTCTACAGAAATTTCTTCAGAGTTATGAGAACTTATGTGCATGCCAAGATTCAAGGAAAATGTTACTCCTAGTCAGAGAAAGAAATTACAATGCTTAGCCTCTAAGGAAAAGTGGCTTACTATAAATCAGGCCCTTGAGAATGGTGTCATTTAGATGCTCCCC